CTAGCCTCAGCCTCAGCCTTGACGCAACGCTCGATCAACGAACGCAGGACAGTGGGGAACCAGGCCTTCATCATAAACGAGTACGGCTCTGGCCCTCCCAAGGAAAAGCAATGAGAATGACGCAGTAGGAACACCAGGAGCCACCAACATGAGAAGAGGCGCTCAGCCCTGCCTTGGTCTGGCTCCGCCAACTGCTGCTGCCCCCCAGGGGCCCCCTATTGGCCCCGTGAGTCGTCTGGCGTGGAAACTCGTTTGTGGACTTGATGAATGTCCATGGCGAGCCCGCTATGAGAGTATGTAACTCCGTTCCCTGTGTTTTGAGCATCGCGGGTGCCGAACGAGCTGGTTAGAGTATTGTTCGGGCAATTCTCATGTATTGATCGACTCAGCCATCGGGCTATTCCTCAGCAGATACTGCTTGCAAAAAGAGAAGAGATCTCAGAGGAACTCTGAGTCTGGGGAGATATTGTGGCGGAGGAGTATCTCAATCTGGATGATGGGATTGTCTCGCTCTGAGAAGTCGCTGGTAACATTTCCATGCGGAGACCAAACTCTAACATGAAAGAGCTTCCTACTGCTGTATCATCATCATCATTTTTATTAACCTAGATGGTCTTTGCCTGCCTTGTAACTGGTACACAGTTGGGAAGTGGCTTATTTTTATGCCTGGTAATTGCATCTTGCTTAGTAACGCCACCACTTCGTTATTCTCAGCTATCAAATGGTGACATGTCGTTTTTCGAACCTACGCGGTGCATTCTAAGGATTCATCGATCTTCAGCTATACAGCAATATAGCCCTGCACCGGGAAAATGACCATCTAAATGTTGTACTGTTGGAGACCAAGCTGCTCCGATGGCGTGTTGCTGCAGGACAAGGTGCGAGGGAGATCATCTCCTGAACGGACGACTAGGCTGCATTCCTCGACTACTGTTATCCTAGAGAGATATGTGACTACGTGCATGAGAACTAGTTGTGGTAGCTAGTAGGGTTATTCTTTGAACTGCAGGAAGCAATCCTGGCCAGACTTGATGAAATAATCATAGGACAAGTTTGGCTACAGACTATTCATCATTGTAATCATAGAAACTGTTGGAAATCCAGCCATTGACCGCACTATAGTCAGCCAGCGGAGTGATTCCATGCAGCGTCTCGTAATGCCTACGAGGGCCGCACAGCCTTTCCATCGTCGAGTTATAGTAAACGCAGCGGCCCTGCAAGAGCGCCGCGATCTGTCGCCCGGCATCAAGCCCTTCAAAGTAGGCTCCGTGCAAGAACCCAAAGTAGCTTGGTGACGTGTGTTCTCCAGCAAACCATAGTCTGCCCGTGTTGGCGCGCAGATTCTGGTGCTCCTCCAGGCCGGTGCTTGCGGGCCAGTTCGAGTAGCTTCCGTAGGACCAGGGCTCGGTACTCCAGCGAGGATACATGAATGCAGTCGGCTCTGGGATGTCCTTGTCTGGGAACATCTTGCGCAGAACGGCCATCACCTCTGCTTTGGTTTCCTCGTCTGACTGCTTCTCGACGTGGTAGGAGAACTCGTTGGTGACAGTGACGAAGAGGATGTTGGATCCGGGGAGGAAACCAGGTGTTGAGAGGGATTGCCAGATGGGATACCATCCACGCAGCTTAGGGTCCGCGTACAAGAAGTACTGTGTGTTCGAGGGCCAGAAGGTCTCGTTGAATTGAAGGAAGATCTTGGTGTAAGTGCCCATGGTAAACTTCTGAATTGCCGTCTGCTTCCAGTAAGGCAGCTCCGGCGTGAAGGTGACGGCGTCATTTTGCAGCACACCCAAAGAAAACGTACATAGGGCATACTGGGCTTGAACACAAGTTCCGTCACTGTTGTACACCGTCACCCCTTTGTCGGAATAAGTGATGTTGGTGACTTGCGTGTTCAAACGGAGCCGTGTGTCGTTCGCCTTTAGGAATTTCGCAGCCACGCCCTTGATGATGGTGTTGTATCCGCGCTGATCCAATACGAAATTGTCCTCGTCGCTAAAGCCATTCCAGGTCAGGTTACTCCCGGCGTAGCCAAATACCAGAGAGCTCTCGAGTGGTGAATAAGCGTCCTCGAAGTCTACGCCTGTTAGTTCATTCCTGTTGAAGGCAGAGCAGACTTACCCCAGTTCCACCATTCAACAGCCTGCGCCTCCATGTCGGTCTTTTTGGGCTTCCAGCCAGCCAAAGCGAGCCCTGTCCGAGCTGTCTGATCTAGTAGATTCTCCAGTAGAATGGTGCCGGCCGCGGCATTGGCGATTTCGTCGGCGGCATCAAACTCATCCAAGAGACGCGAGTAGTCAGAATATCCGTTCTCATTGTAAGTTGAGACGTTGTCATAGTCGGAAAATGTATTCTTGAGGTGAAACTCTTTGGCTAGTGTCCAAATAGGGTTCTGTGGGCCGTCCGGGGTTCCAATACCTTGGATCTGTTCAATGTCAGAGTGGTTCGACATCAACGAGGAATAACCTACCCAGTTGGCACCCAGTTCCACGACATAGGGATCTCCATTTTCATCCTTGCCAAAATCCGTGTGCCAAGCACGGCCTCCAATGGTGCCACGGTATTCTAGAATGACAAAATCATGGATCGATGCGTTGGACAAAGTTTCCTGTCACAGTCAGATTTGAATACATCCCGGTACATGTTCAACATACGGCAGCCTTGATCCCAGCCATTCCGGCTCCTCTGCGAGAATTAGCAAATATGAACATACGAAAAAGATAAGCGATGCATGTACAAGATTGCGACCGTAGTTTTCTGGCATTTTCCCTCTTGAGATCGTGGCTGCTGAGCTACGTAAGCCGCGACAGATTGAATCGCGCAGCCTACGATGGCAGCCAAGCCCAGATGAAGATGCATCGTTAGGACAAGGTTGAAGCAAGGTGATGGAGCGCAATGCTTGAGGAGAAGCCTGCGCTGGAATGCGGGCACATGCGGTTTTTATGCCTGACCTGCAGCTCCGACTGCAGATGATTCAGCTCAGCAGCTGCCCCAGACCACTCCACTCCTGCATTAGCTCAAACTCCTCCTTGGATAGATACCTGGAGATAAGATGCGGGAATGCAGAAGATCGGCAGGTCCATGTAACGTACTCCACCTGACCATCTCACCACATGGGGAGTGCCGCTACACGAGATTTGGAAGGTCTATGCGGAGGCATCGACGAGTTCTGATAAGCGTAATAGCATTCATTTCGGCTGAGAGATGAATCCCCGCATCGTTATCTCTGATGAGAAATTCTCCTGTCCTGCGTTAGCGTTGTTGCAGAAGGCAAAATAGTTGGTGGCTGGTCTAATGCAGCTATTGCTGCAACTGACAAATAGTTTGCAAGGTGCAGCTAAACAATCGCAAGGATACGGAGTACCATCACAGGAACTCAAGTTGATCGGGTGGACCTCCTCAAATTCGGCTAGAGGTTTCCATTATCAAATCAATGATATCAACTATCTCTTGTTAAATCAAGCATGGACGATGACGATTTTGCTGTCACTTGTTGATGTTTGGTGTGAGCTGGCTGTGCTTGTTGTCCGATGCTTCCCCAGAGCTTTATAATCTCGTCATTCGACAACATTTTGGCATATGCATTGAACTCATCAAAAGCCCTTTTTCAATACATGCAGAATCTTACTCAATGGTATATTGTTAGCAACATCACCAACTGTCATTCTTTAATGCAGTCATCTCACAACTGATTCCCTGCATTCGCTGCAGAGCGATGCTTGTAGAAACCTCTCAGAGCAAATGCTGAACAGGACCAGTGGCAGATAACTTCAAGAACCTTTGCAGAAACTTAAGTTTTGATGTTAGTCTGTTCGAAGCTCTTCTGTGGTAAGGAGTAGTGCTGCACGGACAGTCAGATGCTTCCTTGAGGGTTTAAGGAGCAATCCGTAGAGAGCGGCGAACAGGCCTGCAATAGAGGTGTTTCTAGCGACTGGGTGTGTTCTTCTGCAGGATATAGGAGAATCCATCACTGTAGCTTGAGAATTATCTTTCCGTAGAAGGGTGTATGCTTTGAGATGATAGAAACAGACGGGCAAAGTACACTGATGTAGTGCATATTACAGACAAAGATGTAGATGATACAGATGTGGAAACCAGAAACTATTAATAAGACCATGATGACTCTGAGCAGCTAGTAAGTCAGGTGAGTGCTATCCCATAGGCACTTCATTTGCATATTCCTCTCTTTGTCTAGGCCCATGTCCATCCAACAATTGATATCAACTGAGACAGTTACCAGAGCGAGACGGAACAAATAGACGCATCAGTCATACTGGAAGTACAGCCATTTCCGAAGTTGGCTCCTCCTGTACTGGACCATATCGCTCTGTCCCTGATGCCTAATGCAAGTTGCCTCAACATCAGTAGCAAGCGGACTGAGAAATCCCATACCAGATGTGTGCTCGTTCTATCAAAAGCCTCAAACCGAAATCACACTTGGTAACCCTGCATTGCTATCTCTAGCTGATCCAGTGAGTTCCATTCCCTCAACACCGCGTGTCAGGCAGATCTGTGAAATTATATGGATAGCAATCAATGCAATCCGCGCAGAACTCGGATAATACCCTCCTGGAAGAATCCGTTCACAGTCTCAGGAAATATTCCCAGGATTTTTTTATATATTTGCAAATGTACTCAGTTGATATATCTGGCCCGTTTGAGCACGGGAGCTGCAGGGTGGCTGAAAGACAAGCCATAATCTTCGTTATAAATTATTGATTGGATTAGGACTTCCCCCTTATACATTGCTAAGGTATAAGAGAATCATCGAGAAGGCTAAGACATACCGCAAGGCTGAAGCCAAGACTAGAATTGCAAACAAGGCTAAACCTGCAGCCAGACAATGAAGCGAGACGCCCAGGGTCAACGGCCGACAGCGTATCACTGCAGAGTTAGTGCTGTCACAGCCACCACTTCATTTACAGTTATAAGATGGAGAGTCCACTTCCTCCTTTTTTAACTCTCTTCTGCCTCTGCTTTAATGAAGTAGAGACTCAACAATGGATGATTATGTCAATGAGACAGTGGATATAGCAACCGTTGTTGAAGCAAGTGGTAAGTTCTTTAACCGCCGGATCAAATTCGGTCTAATGCTTAGCATCGATAGACGAGAATGAGAATACCTGGACATCGCGACAGGCAAATTTATGGCAGGAATTAGAGAATTACCAACGACAACCACCTTCGATAGTTCTATTGTACGTCTTTCCCAGGTCTGGCTAGCATAATCTCACAGCCGACGAAACAGATACGCCAACTACCCCGAGGAAAGCATTGACGACTCGCCCGTCCTAAGGCAAAAAAATCCAGACGTCTTTTTCCCTCCTGACTTCTTCCCCGTCATCAAGAAAGACCTGAACGGCACATTCTTCTGCGATTATGATATTGACGATGATGGAAAAGTCACCAAGCATTGTCCGTCCATCCTCCAACTCTTACGCTCAACCCCATACTGATGTATATAGTATCATGGACCTGCTTCAAGATCAAACATGTCATCAAACCAGGCCGATACTCCTGGATCCAGACAGCCGTCTTCGTCCAATGGCACCCGCAAGCAGACCGCCAGCTCGTCTTCTTCTTGAACCTACCGGACGTCGTGGCACAGTATCTCGTCGTACATCGACCCTCCCCAACCCACCGGGGGAATCCATACGTCTGGCACACGCTTTTCGCGCAAGGTGTGGTCGAAGAATACGATACGTCGATCTGGTCTCTGCGGCATCTGGTCCGGCCTATCGAGAAGGTATCCCCCCACCCCTTAGCCCAGCCCAAGCAATGCGTGATTCCCGAAGCTGAAAGACAATCTAGGCCCGCAACGAACCAAAACCGCCCGCGCTTAACTTCCCTAACCTGCACGACATTGCCCGGCACATCTTTCACGCGAACGAGACCCTCGAGGTAGCCACGCACACATTGCAGTCTCTAATCGACGAGCAGGCGCGCTTCCGCGTCGAGTATGCAGAGCTCACAAACAAAAACCGGGGCAGCTGGATCAACACCGCGCAGCGGGCGCACTTCGTTGCAAAACAGCTGCATTCGCTCCTGACGCGGTCGCAATCGCTTAGTGAGCGGCTGCGCAACGAGATCAATCTGGCGTTTAATCTTGTTTCGCAGAAGGATAGTGCAATGATGAAGACAGTGGCGTTTGTGAGTATGGTTTATTTGCCGGGGACGTTTATATCGGTATGTTCCAGCCTCAGGTTTGGAGTTTGAATGAGTGAAAACGGCTGAGTATGCATTGTAGGGTCTGTTCGGGACGAACTTCTTCAATTTGTCGAATGACGGTGGGGGGAAGTCGTGGATCATGTCCGGGAATTTCTGGCTGTACTGGGTTATCACGCTACCGCTGACTTTGGCGACGGTGCTGGTCTGGGCCTCGTGGCATTACTTCCCGCATTATTACCCGCGTATGAGTCGCAAGCCGCTGAAGGGCGCTGACTCGGCTGCTTGATGGCTTTTTTTTATGACTGATGATGTGATGATAACGATCAACATGTTGACGTCTTATACCGGATACGCTCTGGTTGATGGCAGATGTGATAAGCCATCAGGATTAAATAGACTTATGATGCGAACTCGCGTGAAAAGGCTGGTAAAGGTTCTGGTTCTGATTCCAAATGAGTAATTCTAACTCTCCAACGCTGAGGAGGGACAAATCTGCTGCTTGCTGATGTACAGAAGCTGGGTGCCGAATGTCCATAGCTTGGTAAGTGTGACTAACAGTAAAATCAGGGGGTCTCTTCGTATATATTGCGGCCGAAGCCTAGGCCGCCGCCAAGAGTAGCACAGCACTATGGCAGAAGCCTTGCGTAGGCATGTACCGTGCAGACTGGCCACTATCATCGGCAAAAATCAAAAGTGCTCGAGATCTCATATCGTCAAGATCGTCGGCTGAACGCATCTCAATCGCTCGCGCCTGTCATGGTGTCGCATGCGCGGCCGCCTGTTGGATACCGGTGAGGCACCTGAGAGCTCAATCCGACGAAGTAGGAGCACTAGCTATGTAAAGAAGTGCACAAGCTGAGTCAAGCCAACACAGTCTAAATCTTTCTTCAAAACTTGATTAGTGCAAAGCGATATACATCACGAGTCGGAACCCTCGCCGTCCGAGGTTTCGAGCGTGTCGGCCATGGTGAACGGAGACTCGGCTGAAGGCTCATTTTTGGGTCGCTTTCCAAAGTCAGCAAATAGCGAATCTGTCTCGGTCGGTAGATGAAGACCATGGATAATAGCCCGGGTGCGGATCCTATCAAGAGCAGCTTTGCTCGAGCTCCATCGTCGAGATGCAGCTTTTGCGGCTATGCTGAGGTTAATGAACGCATCACGGTTTTCGGGTACATCCAGCCGTTCGAGCAATACGAGTAGGGCGATGTTGATCGGCTGGCTGGTGCCTTGTGGCATGCGCTCAACACCCCATGCGGAACGGTGAAGGCGCATCAGCTGAGAGATGCTCCTTGCAGATGACAAACAGGCCTCCTGGTGGCTCTTTGGCATCATGTGGAAAAGTCGGTGGTCCGATTGACCATTCCGCTCATCCGTGCATAAGAGTTCGTAGACGGTTATAATGAGCGCGTGCTGGTACATGCTACAAATAGTCAGCCTTCACTCCTTTCAAACGTACGCGTCGGGAATGAGAAGCTTACTGAAGACATAAGACGTGTGGAACCTCAATAGCGTCCCTTTTCTTCAGGCAGGGCGGTAGCTCGCTTTGCCACTCTCGCAGTCGTCGTTGCAATTCGGCGCTCTTTTCCGTCTCCGACGAGTTGACTTCCCCGTGAAAATGGGGGTAGGTAATATCGTAGGCGATTTCATTCAAACTGCAGAGGGCTCGGAACGTACACAGTGTATGCGCTTGCAATTTTTCGGACTCGGTTGGATATGGTACCCACAGGTCGGCGTCCGGGTCATGGGAGATCGGCGGAAGGTGAAACTTTCGGGGCGGTTTAATCAAAGGCGCCTTCCTACTGGATACAGCATGGGTCCTGGGTCCAGGGACTGGTCAGTCGTCCCTGGTTCTAGCCGTCCGGCACTGGTAAAAGACATGGCATTGCGTACATCGCGATGTTGAACAAACCCCAAATTGTTACATTGGCTGCTCGGGCCAAGTCAAGCGCCTCACCGTCGGCATCCTTGGGAGCTGTGATGCTCGGAAAAAGTTCCTGAACGGCGTATGCAAGTTGGCTCTGATGAATCCAGCCATGTCGATCTTTCCTGGTCATAGAAGCGCTGGTGTATTTCAGCAGAGGCCAGCTCTAACAAGAGAGGGAAACATACCATATCCATAAAACCCCCAGCCCTTGGGCAGTCGCAAGGGTGATTCTGCCTTCTTCCTTGTCTAGCAAACGTTTGGCCTCGTTGTAGAAGCGGGCACCCTGGGCGGCCGCGTCTCTCGAAGAAGCATCCGAGTCCAAACTATCCGAGTATGCCTGTCACCGGTCACCAGCAGGTCCAAGTACCTCAATCGGGTCTACCTACACACGCATCGGCCAGGATGGCATTCACCAAAAACGGCGAACAGAATTTCGAGTCCAATGACCCCGACTGCATATCCCGCAGAAACAAGTCGCGATCAATCCAATTGTAAAACGGATGAACCCACGTAAACCACAACGAAATCAAATGCGATACATGCTCGTCATCGTCAGTGACAGTCGTCCACGGGGCCGCCGGCACACGGAACAAAGGCTCCACGGAAACCCTCTGCGTGTCGAGAATCCGGCGCCGCGACCGCGACCCCATCTGCTCAAACCGTTGTATCTCATTGCACACCTCGATCAGCTCCGGTGTCTGCTCCAGCTCGGACTTCAGCTGCGTGTCTATGTAGAGCTGGATTTCGGCCAAGGAGGCGTTGCTGCGGATGAGGTTGAGGAGCTGGATGGTGCGCCGGGTGCCGCTCTCGCGAAGGGTGCTGACGAGCTGGATCAGGAGGTCCTCTTTCTCTTCGAGCTGGTTGACCTTGCGCTTTAGGGCGCCGCGGCGGCGTTTATCGGCACTGGCGTCGAAGGTACATTCGACGTTGTTCTTGATACAGTTTGTGCATGGGGAGGTTCCTGAGCACTGAACTGGGGTTAGCATAGCGCTGTAGTCTTCTTCGTAGTCACGACAGCTGACAGCTTCACACACCTTGAGCTTGCGCGTTTTACAGGCCGAGCACGCTGTACCGACATTTTTCCGCTTTTGCTGAGCTTCACTTGTACCAGAGCCACCAGGCGGGGCTGGAGACGGTTTGGACTCGGCCATGGGTGGGGTATTACTGTGGACTCAGGCCATTCCGGGTAGTTGGAATCAAGGAAGGAGCCGATAATTGAGAAGAGGAGGGAAATATCAAGTACAACAAGGGGAAGGCAATCGGGTTTAATGCGAACATGACGGAAGGGGCCAAAGTGAAGGGGAACTTGATGCGCTCAACCCCGAACCAGACCTGTAACATACCCCAAATGCTGGTGACGGAGCTGGTATTAATTACGCCATTCCAGGGCTGTTCCAAGTAAATTGCCCCATCTTATTGGCGGATGGAGCTGTCATGCTTCTCCGCAGTCGTATTGTAATCTCCTGCTGGATATTTCTTGCGGCATGAATAATATATTGGAACGTGATATATAGTGGTATACCTTCATTACTTGGTAGCTAGGTATTATTACCTTGTGGTTCTGTGATTCTGTCATACCTGGAATGTTTTGTGGATGCCAAAGTCAAATCCCGGCCTTGTCTCCGATACCTTGTGGGAGGCCGTAAACAGCTGGTAGAATGTACCCATATCGGGATACCAGGATCTCAGACGACGAAATGGATTCTCTCTATATGAAAGTATAGTCATGATTGTTTATTCTTTTTTTCATTCAACTTATACGGTATCCGAGTCATCAGCTCGAGATGCAAGCTATCTAGGTGTGGTGTGAAATACTACATTAAACTATGCTATACCAAGGCTATATATATTAAAGGCTTTTGTTCCCTACACCCACGCCACTCTTGTCTCCGTCCGGCCGGTCATGCGAAGAGACGGATCCACCAGGCATAACCCCCATATTCACCGATTCCTCCTCATCCTCGCGCCAAAAGTCCTTCTTGCCCCGAGCGGCCCGTCGCAGCCAGGGAGGGAAAAATCCTCCGGGAACTTTATACGACCATGGGTCCGACTCATCCTTGTTCGGGGGCACCACCCGACCGACGGAGCCCTTTTCAACGAGCCAAGCTGTCGCATTGATGAGGACGTAACTCAGAATACCGGCAATCAGACCATAGGCAATGGAGTAGGTGAAGGGCATAATGGCGATGGTCAGGAAGGCGGGAATGGCGTCGCCGTGGTAGCGCCAGTTGATCTCGGCGGCTGCCTTGCACATCAGGGCGCCAACAATCACCAGCGTGCAGCCGGTGGCCCAGGGAGGGATAGAGGCGAAGATCGGGGCGAAAAAGACGGAGATGAAGAAGCAGATACCTGTCACGCAGGACGTAAGACCCGTCTTTCCGCCCTCAGAGATACCGGCACCACTTTCGACAAATGCCGTCACAGGGGGCGAGCCAAAGAGAGAACCGATAGAGATGCTGATTGCATCGACCATCTGGGATCGTCGTCAGATTGATTGAAAACACTCAAGGAGAGTGAGACATACATAAGCAAGGGCACTACCCTCGAAATCCTGAGTGCGTTCATCGATGGTTCCGGCAAACCGGGCCATAGAGTACAGAGTACCGGTGGTGTCAAGAATATCCACATACTACACGCTGATCAGTAAAGGATGGCGTACATCTTCAGAACGCGGACTTACCAGGAACGTGATAAAGGCCAGTCCAAACTGCCCACCATGGCCTGAGAGATTCCAGTCCTGAGCAACTAGGGTATGCTTGATCGGATGGAAGGTCACGACCTGCTTGAAGAAATCGAACATGCTGTCACCCAGCTCCGTATGAGGGAAGTAGGTGACAGGTGTAGGGCGCGGCCAGGAAATGATGGAAACCAGCAAGATACCAATGATCACAGCACCCTTGATCCGATACAGCATCAACAGCGCAGTGAACACACCACCGCAAAATATGCCCACCCACATCGTCGGGTTACGCATCTTAGCATCGCTGGGACACATGCCAGTCGTAGGATCACGCAGAGAAGAAATGCAACCTGCCAGTTCCAACGGGGTCTCGGTAGACCCCGTTACCAAGCCAATACCTGCGCTGTAACTCAATCCGATAAGTGTGAGGTATAGACCGATACCCGTGCCCGTAGCGAGTTTGATCGAGGCCGGCAATGCACGCGCCAACCACTGCCGGATACCGAGCAGAGTCAAGCCCAAGAAAACGAACCCCTCGACAAAGACGGCGGTAAGAGCAAGGCTATAAGGAATCATGCCGGAGCCGTGGTAACCCACGACAGTGTAAGCGAAATAGGCATTGAGACCCATACCGGGGGCCAGGGCGACAGGCAAGTTAGAGAAGAGACCCATGCAGAAAGTA